AATTCTAGGTATTACATGGAGGTCTTTTACACACATTGAGTATGTTTTTGTATGTGGTGTGAGATGTGCGGTTTGTTTTTAGTCTTCTGCAAATAGATTTCCAGTTTTGCCAGCACCATTTGCTAAAGAGACTATCTTTTCTCCATTTAATATGTTTTGAGATTTTGTCAGAGATTAGCTGACTGTATATGGATGGATTTGCTTCTGAGGTCTCAATTCTGTTCCATTGATGTATGTGTCTTTTGTTATACCAGTATGAGGCTTTTGACCACTGTAGCTGTGTAGGTAGATTCTGAAATCAGGGAGTGAGAAGCCTCCACATTTTTCTTTTTAAGCAGTGCTTTGGTTATCTGAGGTCTCTTTCCTTTCCATATAAAGTTAGTGACCATTTTTTCCATGTGTTTAAGAATGTGATTCAATCTATTTTTGCTAATATGAAAGTGAAACTTGTGTAGAAGATTCAAGAATTAAAATACTGTTTTGAAAACAGTGAATAGTTACACAAAATTGTGACTGTCAATGAATCATACATTTCCAAATTGCTAAAATAGCAAATTTTGCTATATTTTATAATGAAATTCAAATGAAAAGGCTTATGTTGTAGTTACATGCTATATAGTTGGTTCTGACTTCATAGCACCCTATGCACAGGAGAACAAACCACTGACTGGTTCTGTGCCAATTACAGCACCACTGTGTCAATCATCTTGTTGGGGGCTTCCTTTTATTCGCTGGCTCTCGACTTCACCAAGCATGATGTCCTTTGGCATGGACTGGTCTCTTCAGATAACGTTTTCAAAGTGCGCAAGAAAAAGTTTTGCCATCCTCGCATTCTGGATGTGCTTCTTCTAAGACAGACTTGTTTGTTCTTCTGGTAGTCCATGGTACTTTTACTATTGTTCATCATCACCACAATTCAGATGCCAAATACTCAAAAAATGTTTTTGATTAAAGTTTTCATCATAGTATCATTTTCAAATTATTTAAATTATTTCAAATTATTTAAATATTCTCCTACCACTGGGCATATTATTGTATTTTCAATTATTTTCTATTCTCTGAAATATAATCTGATTTATTATGAATAACAAAAAATAATTCTAGTACTTCCAACCAAAATAATTACTAATAAGCAACAAATATAGCTGGAGAGGCACTAAAACCTAGAAATCAAGAGATCTGGTTTCCATTTTGCCTATGTAGATAAAATGAAAGGAAACTGCTTTGAGACTTTTTATGAATATGTAGTACCTACTACTATATAGGGTCGCTATGGGTCGGAACTGACTCGACGGCATTTAACAACAACAACTACTAGATAAGGGTACACTAGCAAAAATTTGAAAGAACTCAGCAGAAATGGTAATAAAATATGGATAAATTATAACATACGAGTACTTAGGAATGCATACTGGCTCCATACTCTAACACTGGACTGTGAACCACAGAGGTCAGCAGTTTGAACCCATCAACCATACCACAGGAGACAGATGAGGCTTTCTGCTCCCGTAAAAATGTAAAGCTTCAAAAGCCTTATACAGGTCGATATGATTCAGAACTGACTCTACAGCCCTTAACAACCACCTAATATTTAAGCTTGTCCTACATACCTCAAACTGATCAACATTTGTTGGGACTACCTGAGGTATCACAGATACAGATTTTACTTTTAATGCAAAAATTATATAAACTGTCGGAAACACGAAAATCTGAACAAATGTACTCTCTGAAATATAGCCAACTCATGCTTATTGCTGTGGTTGTTAGGTGTCATCTAGTCAGTTGCGACTCGTAATACACAACAACTCACTATGCACAACAGAATGAAACACTGCATGGTCCTGTGCTAGCCTCACAGTCGTTGTTACTCTTGGGAACACTGTTGCTGCTACTGTGTCAATCCATCTTGTTGGCAGGGGTGGGGAACACCCAAGCTGTATTAAAGCCTGAAAATTAATTTGGTCTGTTCCTGCTAAGGCAACCGCAGTTCCAGCCATCACACTGGTGGTGGTGGTGATGGTGGTTATGTGCCGTGGAGTCAGTTCCGATTCATAGCGACCCTGTACAGGTTTCCAAGGCTGTAAATCTTTATGGGAGCAAAAAGCCTCATCTTTTCCCCAAGGAACAGCTAGTAGTTTCGAACTGCTGATCTTGAGGTTAGCAGCTAGACTCGTAATCACTACACTATCAGGGTTTCTTAGCCACATTGTTGTTAAGTACTGTGGAGTTGGTTCCAACTCATATCCAACAAATTTGTTGTTGTTGTTGTGAAGTGCCATTGAGTTGGTTCCGACCCATAGAGACCCTTTATAGGGTTTCCAAGGAACAGCTGGTGAGCTTGAACAGCCAACCTTACAGTTCAAACGACTTTGCAGTCTGGTGCATTAACCCACAGCGCCACACCAGGAATCCATCCATCACATTTGTTGTTGTGAAGTGCCATCGAGTCAATTCTGACCCATAGAGACCCTGTATAGGGTTTCTGAGGAGCAGCTGGTGAGTTTTAACTGTCAACCTTGCAGTTCAAACGGCTTTGCAGTCTGGCGCATTAACCCACAGCACCACACCAGGACTCCACATTCATCACATTGTTGTTATTGTTACGTGCCGTGGAGTAGGTTCCGACTCATAGTGACCCTGTCCAGGGTTTTTGAGGTTATAAATCTTTACGGGAGCAGAAAACCTCATCTTTCTCCCGCGGAACAGCTGGTAGTTTTGAACTGCTGACTTTGCGGTTCGCAGCCCAATTCGTAACCACTACGCTAACAGAGCTCCTTTCCTATCACATTTGTTAAGTACTGTGGAGTCAATTCTGACTCATAGTGACCCTGCACAGGGTTTCCGAGGCTGTAATCTTTACGGAGCAGAATGCCTCCTCTTTCTTCCAGGGAACAGCTGGTAGTTTCAAACTGGTGACCTTGAGGTTGGCAGCCCAATTTGTAACCACTACGCTACCAGAGCTCCTATCACATTAGGGGTGGCTTAATTAAATGTTTGATCAAATATACAGGCTAATTTTTAAGTTGATAATTTTGTATGGCCCCTTGAATGATGTTATGAATATTGAAATGGCCCTAGGCAGAAAAACGGTTTTTTATCCCTTTTGTTGGGGATCTTCCTTTTTTTCACTGACGCTCCATTTTACCATGCATGATGTCATTCTTCAGGGAATGGTCCCTCCTGATAACATCTCTGATGTATGAGAGACGAAGTCTTGCCATTCTGGCTTCTAAGGAATATTTTGGCTAGATTTCTCCCAACACTAATTTGTTCTACCTTCCGGTAGTCCACGGTACTTTGAATATTCTCCTGAAACACCATACTTCAAGTGCATCAATTTTTCTAGTCTTCCTTACTCACTCACTGTCTTTATTCCTTAGTCCTTTCATTTTCTTTAGATGCCTTCTGCATCATTCAATCCTTTGCCCATTGAATCTTTCAACATTACAAGAGGAGGAATGAAGGTTTTTTGTTTTTGTTTTTTCAGTTCTTTCAGCTTGAGAAATACTTAGCCTGTTCTTACCTTTTCGATTTTCTAACTTCAAGTCTCTGCAAATTTCATTATCATACTTGGTCTTCTCAAGCTGCCCTATGAAATTTTCTGTGCAGCTCTTCCTCATTTCTTCCATTCATTTAAGCTTCTCTATGCTCAAGAGCAAGTTTCAGAGTCTATTCTGACATCCAGTTTTGTCTTTTATTTCCTGTTTTTTTTTAAAAATGAAGTTTTGCTTTCTTTCTGTAAGATGTTCTTGACTCCATCCCATAATTCATCTTGTCTTCAGTCATTAATATCAAATGCACCAAATCTGTTTTTGAGATGGTCTCTAAATTTAGGTGTAACATATTCAAGATCATATTTTGGCTCTTGTGGAGTTGTTTTAATTTTCTTCAACTTCAGCCTATGCTTGCACATGAGCAATTGACGTGATCTGTTCCACAGTCAGCCGCTGGCCTTGTTTTGGCTGATGATATGGAGTTTTTCCGTCATCTCTTCCCACAAATGGTGTAAATTTGATTCCTGTGTAGTCTATCTGGTGATGTCCAAGTGTATAGTCACCTTTTATGTTGTTTAATAAAAGTTAACTGCAATGAATAAGTCATTGGTCTTGCAAAATTCTATCAAGTGATCTCCAGCATCATTTCTATCACCAAGAACATACTTTCCAACTACTGATCCTTATTTCTGGTTTCCTAATTTCACATTCCAATCATTAATCATTATTAATGCACCTTGATTGCATGTTTTATCAAACTGGCTGTAGTGGCTGGTGTGTAAATTTGAATAATAGTGGTATTAACTGGTCTTCTTTGTATATTATTCTATCATAGATAGCATTGTACTTAAAGACAGATCTTGAAATGCTCTTTTTGATGAAGAATGTGAGATACTACTACTCCTTTTCAGTTTGTCGTTTCCAGCACAGAAAACCATGACTATCAGATTCAAAATAACCAATTCAGCTCACTAATCCCTAAGAAAGCAATCTTCATGCATTCCATTTCATTTCATTTTTACAACTTGTAATTTTCCTAGATTCATACTTCCATGTTCCAATTATTAATGGATGGCTGCAGCTTTATCTCCTCATTATGAGTTGTGCCATATTAGAAGATGAAGGTCCTCAAAACTGCGTTCCATTCACATCATTATGGTCAAACTACTTTCTAGAGGTAGCTCATCTCCAGGGTATTTTGTGTATCTTTCAACCTGAGGGGCTCATCTTCTGGTATGTATCTAACAATGTTCCAGTGCTATTCATATAGTTTTCAGTGGCTGATTATTCAGAAATGGTCCACCTCTCCTTCCTAGTCAGTCAGTCTAGAAGCTCAGCTGAAACTTGCCCAGCATGGGTGACCATACTGGTATTTCAAATACCAGTGGCATAATGTACAGCATTGCAGCACCACACAAGCCACCACAGTCGGACAAACTGACAGTCAATATATATTTCACATGTATTAAATTATGTAGAAATAACTTTAGCTCATAAAACTGTATTTTAGAATTCTCTCATACCAGGACAGCTAGAAACAGGTGTTCCCATATTAATGAGGCACAGTGCACATCGAGGGAGGGGTTTCCGACAACCAGGGCAACTTGTGACCTTAGATTTTGTTGGGGAGCCACTGACTCCATATTGACTAAAACCTCGGCCCTGATGAGGCACAGTTGAACAGCTATAGGAGATAGACTTGCCACAGAAATTGCAGCTCACAAACACCTACAAAACAAATTAAAGGAGGAATTAAATGTAATGTAAACCACAATGAAATGCTAAATAATTCAAAGTTTAACATAACAAATTATTTTGAAATAATTGTATTTTATATTGGAAACTATTTGTTATCTGCTAGGTTTGACTACCTTTCATTTAAAATCTTCACTTAGCAATTAAGGTATATGGGTAATTCCTTTCTGTTACCTTTTCTGTTAAATGCTTCATAATACCACTGACTTAGGCAGAAAAAGTTGGGAACTTTAGATCCCAGCATTTTACAGATAATTTTACCCTGGAGTATTATGAAATATGACTTGTAATCTAAAGTTCAGGGATATAATCTTAAGAAGAAAATACTTCTGGAAAAAGATCAGTTTTTTGAAGCAGTTTATTCTGCTTTTAGAGTTAACTCCTTACCAAATAATTACAAAATAATCACTTATCTAATAGATTAGCAAAAATATTATAATGTAAGGCTATTTTACTAATACTAGTGTCATAATACAAGCACTATAACTTCTCAATTTCCTAAAATACACATTCACGATATTATTGTTATGTGCCGTTGAGTCGATTTTCACTCATAGTAAACCTGTACAGGGTTTGAGGCTTTGGATCTTCCATGGAGCAGAAAGCCTGACTTTTCTCCCATGAAGTGGCTTGAGGGCTCAAACTGTGAATCTTGTGATTCATCGTCCAATGTTTATCAGATGGAGCCACAGTGCTCCCATTCAAGATATACCCAATATTTAATGTCTTAACTAAGATGTAGAGATCTGACATCATGTACCTAATATAGTAATTAACTTCATGCTTACTGTTTTAACTAATGCTAAAAAAAATCCCATGTGTAATTAGACATAGGTATAGAGTACCTACAGGAGAAAGAAGAGGTTTTCTGCTTCCATAAGGACTTAAAGCCCCGGAAACCCTCTACAAGGTCGCCATGAGTAGGAACCAACTTGAAGGCACACAGCAACAGAAGCAGCAGGAGCATTTGCATATAGAGTTAAAGAAAAATTACTGCCTTTTTACCTATCAATAGCATAGGAAAACTTCATATTCATACAAATAAATTTTTTTTTAAGGTCATGAAGTAGTTCAGCATCTAAAAGGGTTTGGAATAGATTGGAAAATCTTAGACAGCCCTTGGACTGATAACAGATTTCCCAGAGATTCTCCAGCGTGCTGTTGTTTGCTCTGTCTCAGACTAAAAAGTTCAAGACCCTAAGATGATTGATAGGAATTGGCAAAACTAGAAAACACAAAGAGTAAGGATAAAGACCACTTTGTGACAGATAAAGACATAATGGAAATAGTATAAGCACAAGAAACCAAACCCAAATTCATTGCCGTTAATGACCCTCTAAGATAGAGTAGAACCATCCCATAGGATTTCCAAGATTGTAATACTTTTGGAAGCAGACTTCCACGTTTCTTTCATGGAGTGGCTGGTGGGTTCAAACCACCAACCATTTGGTTAGCAGCTGAGTGCTTAACAACAATACCACCAAAAGAATGAACTAATAATAATTTTTAAATTGAACTCTAAATTTATACCATATATTTATACTATATAAATATACACACTTGCTTCTTTAGCTGGGAATATTAGAGACAGGTTACAACTTGATTTCCTCCAAAAGAAGGAACTTACTTGTGCTAAAGGCTTGGAACTGGGATCCAACTTACTCCTGTGAATATCAAATTCAGCCCGTTTGTGCCAAAACCTCCAAGCATCTAATAAATTCCTGTAATTCTCAATCCAGTACTGAACCCTTTCATCTTTAAGAACATCTACAGGAGAACCCTAAAAAGAAAACATGAATTACTACAAATGTTAGAAAATTTCCCAGCTAAGCCAGAGAATTCTGTTTGACATATAAGTATGAATTATATGGAAGAAATATGTCCCCTTTTTGCCAAAAACTGGCTCCCAATAAATACACATATAATTGGTGGAAGAACCATTAACTTACTTTAAGCTGGTCTCTATAAGTAGTGTATGTATTATTATATCTGACAAGGGAAGTGACATTCTTTTTCTCTTATTTAAGTTTAAGATGTCAACAGCAAACCACATTCAGCGTTTCTGGCTGGATGCAGTAAGAGGTGATGCGGATGCCTTTTAGATTAATGGACATTTCTGGATTCACAGAGTCTGTCTGCTGTCTAATCTATGCCCACCAAGTTTGCATAACCACATTCAAAATAATATTGAGCCCAATAATACGTATCTAGCAAATACACTGTGAACTGAGAGATGCTGATTTTGTATACCATTAATCTATTTACCTGTAAATCAAACCCATCTATTTTCTTTCTCTTAATGTCAATTAAAATATACATTTATCTCCTTAAAAATTATAACAAGAAAGCAACAAAACCAGAATATGTGTTCGTTCTTTTGCCCCTTGGCCATATTGAAAAGCCACAATTAGTTCTGCTTAATTTTACTTTAGATTTGTCTCATTGGGTACATCAATTAACTTGCCAGTAAGAATTTTCAAAAGTTGTCATTTTTCATGACGGCTGTGACAAACCATATTACACTTATGCTTCCCTTGGGTTCTCACGGAAGCCTTGTAGCCCTGTCCAGGACACCTTTAACTGCCATGTTGGAATACGGAGGGTAAATCTCCACCTCCAATGATGCCATGGGCATCAAAATGAAGCTCTGTTTTCCCAATCCTACTTGAGGGCAGACAGAAAAGCAGAATGTTATGGTATACTTAGAATGTACCTTACTAATGGAAAAAGAAGCAGAAATCTGTTAACACTTCATAAAGACAGTATATAAGGGCAAGACAAAAAGCACTGCTACAAAATCATAGAAGCCTTTATTAAACAAAAATATAAAAATGTTAAGCACTGCTTCTTAATATAGCTGTAATCTAGGTCTAAATATTTCTGAAGACCTCTCTAATCTTTCCCCAAAGAATTCTGTGGTCTTCAATTTATACCAGTCAGTTTTGGTAACCTCTAAGAACTACTGATGTGGCGCTGTAGGATTAACACTGGACTGCAAACCACAAGATTAGCAGTTCAAACCCACTAGCCACACCTCGGAAACCCTATACTAGATCACTATGAGTTGGAACTGACTTGAGGGTACTTAACAACAACAGCAGGGATTCAAATTGTGTTCCCTGAAATGGTGTTTCAATTTGGGGCACAAAAAGAAGTTTGAAGGGTTGTAGTACAGACAGGGTGGTGGTGGTTGTGTGCCGTGGAGCTGGTTCCAACTCATAGCAATCCTGTATAGACAGGGTTTCTGATACTACATATCTTTACGGGAGCAGAAAGCCTTATCTTTCTTCCACGGAACAGCTGGTAGTTTCGAATTGCTGACCTCAAGGTTAGCAGCCCGACTCGTAACCACTACGCTACCAGAGCTCCTTATAGACAGGGCAGGATTTCCCAGAGAAATTCTCCTAGGAGAGCCTTTGCTACACTTTAAGAATGACCAGGTATACTGTTGAGATAGAAAAATAGTTCTCATTGCAACTTTTCAGGATTTTTTTCTCATCAATGTAGTTTTTAATTTTCTTAAAACTTCATCATAATAAGCCCCCATGATCATTCTGTGTCCTTCTAAAGAAAATCTATCAGGATTACCCAATGGGAATCCAAAAAAAAACTGTTGTCATAACTTTGAGCTGACTTCTCTGCCTTGAATTTAACTGGCCCAGCAAATCCCCTCAGAAGCTACTGTTTTGAATAGATTTTGGCCCCTGGATTGTATTGGTAAATCCAAGACTCATCCCCAGTAACAATCATTCCATAAAATAGTCTTTATTACCTTTGATCTTGCTTAAAAGACTGATGGAAAGATCAGCTCTTGGAACTAGTGTTATCTTCCTGTAGCACTTTTGATATCCATAGAGCTGAAAGCTTACTAAAGCCAAGATGTTAACTTAAAATTGAAAATGTCAAATCATGAGAGATCCAAACTTCAGAAGTTGCCCCATCAATGGTAATTCTTCAATCTTCTTCCACCATTTTCCTAACTTCAGCCACGGTTTCTTCATTCATTGAGATGGGCAGTCTTTCCATTCTTGGCTCATCTTTCATGTCTTCCTGACCGTCCTCAAAACACTTGATCCATCTAAAACTGTTGCTTTACAGGGGCAGTATTCCTGCAAACTTGTTGCAAAGCTTTAATAATTTGTGAAGATGTCCACTTGAGTTTTATTAAAAATTTATTAGCCCTACATCAAAATTATTTTTTCCCATGGCACACCAAAAAAATCCTTCGTTTTTGAAGACACCCTAACAAAGGTAGTATAGTTCTGAGAGAATTTGTCTGCAGCCATTCACTGATTGCAGAGAAATGTTTATATCATGTGTTGTTTGAAATAAATCTATGCATGCATGCATTGGAACCTTAGAAACCAGACTTTTTTGACTACCTCAAACCTTTAGGCATTCTATCAAAAACAGAATGATTTTCAGCTTTCATATTAAATGTTAATTTCAATGAGAATTAAATTTGGCTAAAAGAACATGCAAAAGATACTCTTAACATGATTTCTTAAAAAAAGCAGAGATCTATTCTAGACCTAATTATGACTAAGAATTAATTATCAAGTAGTACATAACCCTTGGTTTAAAAGGAAAGTTTACCAAAAAATGAGAATTCTACATGCCCTACACTTTCCCCTAGAAATGAACAACAGGGACATTACATGGCCAATCACTTGTTGTTGTTGTTGTTATTAGGCGCCATCGAGTCAGTACCGACTCATAGCAACCCTAGGCACAGCAGAACGAAACACTACCTGATCCTGGGCCAACCTCACTACTGTTGCCACGCTTGAGTCCATCGAAGTTGCCACTTGGCCAATCCATCTCATTGGGGGTCTTCCTCTTTTTTCTCTGACCCTCCACCCTACCAAACATGATATCCTTCTCCAGCGAATGGTCCCTCCTGACAATATGTCCAAAGTATGAGAGACGAAGTCTGGCCATCCTAGCCTCCAAGGAGCACTCTGGCTGCACTTCTTCCAACACGGATCTGTTGGTTCTTTTGGAAGTCCATGGCACTTTCAATATTCTCCTCCAACACCATAACTCAAAAGCATCAGTTCTTCTATGGTCTTCCTTATTCACTGTCCAGCTTTTGCATGCAATGAGGTTATTGAAAATACTATGACTTGGGTCAGGCACACGTTAGTCCTCAAACTGACATCTTTGTTCTTCAACACTTTAAAAAGGTCTTGTGCAGTAGATTTGCCTAATGTAATACGTCATTTGATTTCTTGACTGCTGCTTCTGTGAGTACTGATAGTTGATCCAAGAAGAATGAAGTCTTTGACAACTTCAATTTTTTCTCCACTGATAAGAATGTTGTTTATTGGTCCAGGGCTGAGGATTTTTGTCTTTTCTTTACATTGAGATGCAATCCATACCAAAATCTTTCTTGAAAGATTTCAATTTTCATTCCATCAATTCCTGGTGCCTTGTTCTTTGCCAATTCCTTCAATGCACCTTGAACTTCCTCCTTCAGTATCATTGGCTCTTGATCATATGCTACCTCTTGAAATGGTTGATAACCAACTATTTCCTTTTGATACAGTGACTGTGTATTCCTTCCATCTTCTCTTGATGCTTTTTGCATAATTAAATAATTTGCCTAGAGAATCTTTCACTAACGAAAGTCGAGGCTTGAATTTTTTCTTCAGTTCTCTCAGCTTGAGAAATGCTGAGCATGTTCTCCCTTTTTGGTTTTCTGACTCCAGATCTTTGCGTATTTTGTTGTAATATTTGATTTTATCTTCTCGAGCTGATCTTTGAAATTTTCTGTTCAGCTCTTGGACCTCGTAATTTCTACGCTGGAGAACAAGTTTCGGTGTCTCTTCTAGCATCCATTTTGACATTTTCCTTCTTTCTTGTTTTCTCAATGACTTTTTGCTTTCTTCATGTATGTTGTTCTTGATGTCTTTAGTGTTTAATGTATCAAATCTGTTCTTCAGATGATCTCTAAATTCAGGTGGGATATAGTCAAGGTCATTATTTTGGCTCTTGTGGACTTGTTTTCATTTTCTTCAGCTTCAGTTTGAATTTGCTTATGAGCAATTGATGGTCTTTTCCACACTCTGCCCTGGCCTTGTTTTGACTGATATGGAGATTCTCCATCGTCTCTTTCCGCAGATGTAGTCAATTTGATTTCTATGTATTCCATCTGGTGAGGTCTGTGTATACAGTTGTCTCTTATGCTGTCTAAAGAAGGTATTTGAAATGAACAAATCGTTGATTTTTCAGAATTCTATCATGTGATCTCCAGCATCATTTCTATCACCAAGGCCATATTTTCCAACTACTGATCCTTCCTCTTTGTTCACATCCTTTGCATTCCAACCACCAGTAATGATCAATACATCTTGATTGCATGTTTGATCAATTTCAGATTGAAGAAGTTGGTAGAATTCTTCTATGTCATCCTCACTGGTTTTAGTGGTTGCTGTGTAAATTTAAATACTAGTGGTATTAACTGGGCTTCCCTGTAGGCGAGTGGATATTATCCTATCACACACAGTACTGAATCTCATGACTGATCTGGATATGTTCTTTTTGACAATGAATGCAATACCATTCCTCTTTAATTTCTTCTCATCACTGCTAAAGATAAGATTAAAAAGAATTTAAAGAATCAATTCAAAGACAACTAACAGTAAAAATTCTTAAGACCAGTTCCAAAAAAAGCCTAAAATCCACAAGATACACAGATTTAATAGATTGAGTCCAATCAAGTTAGAAAGGTCAAGGCATATCTTGAGCTTTCCACAGATTCACAGTAAATAAATATAAAACCAAAATTATCTTCCAGTAACTGAATTACCTTACAACCACAATCCCTACTCTTTGTTGTTACTGTTGTTTAGTGCTGTCAAGTCAATTCCAACTCACATCGGTCCAGCACAGGAGTTCCAAGGAGTGGCTTGGAACTGCTGACCTTTCAGTTAGTAGTCTAGTGCTTATTCTATAGTGCTACACATTGAATGAAAAACTACAACGTAGATAAAAAAACAAGTCAATGTAGTTCAAGTCAGGGAAAAAAGCCGTTGACAGAAACTAAGACTTGCGATACCTAAGTTAGTAAACAAAAACTGTTCCAAGTAGCCATTAGAAATATGATGGGAGAATTCAAAAAAATGGGTTCAAAGGCTTTATAACAAAATAATTAATTGAATTAGTGAACAGATTGGGAATCTGAGCTGAGAAAGGTAAACTATAAAAGGAAATAGAATTTCTAGAAGAAGAAAGCACAATAACTAAAATTAACATTTCCCAGGAAGGCATAACAGTAAATAAGAAGTAGCAGAAAAGTCAATGAAAACTCAATATACACAGTCTACTTTGAAGAAAAGATTTAAAAAATTAAGACTGAAGGAAAGAACATAGTTTCTGAGACTTGTAGGACAATATCAAATGGTACAATCCATGTGCATTAAGAGTCCAGGAAGAGAATGAGGTCAGAGTAAGGAGAGGGTAAACTATATTTACCCAGTACACTGCTGTTGTTGTTAAGTGCCTTTGAGTTGGTTCAACTCATAGTGACTCTGTGTAGGTTTTCCAAAGTGCAGCTGATGGGTTTGAACCACTGACCTTATGATTAGCAGTGCAGTGTTTATTCTACATACCATGCTATTATAATGCATGCAAAGTATGAGGGCATGAAAGAGACAGATAATGACAGCATAAAAATAGGGCTAGTAGGAGAGCTGTGGTATCTCCAGGAAAGTCTGAAGTCTCACCACATTTTTATAAGTGAAATAGAAGGTAAACTTTTCCTGGAATCTGTCTTTATCCAATGGATAATAAAACTTCAGAGAAAGCAGATGAATTGGTTAGCCCAAAGCATGCCTACTGAAACTGAATGGGAGGAAATGAGAGTTAAGAGAGCGATGCTAGAACTTGTCTTCTGCTCTTCAAACAAGACTGTATGTAGTTCAGATCAGGGAAAGGGGACCTCTTTTCCTGAAGGTGTAGTTCTGACATCAGTTGGAGAAACCGAAGAGAGGTTTCTCTGTTACATTCACAGTTTACATAAATCAAGACTGACATTTCCCAGAGTTAAAGGAATAACAGGATAACCCAATGCAGGAAACTTAAGGGGCAATTAGACGAGGCACAAGTCCTCTCAATATTAAGTGGTTAGGTTAAAGCTAAATGCTTTCTAAATACACGAAGCATGCAAAAGTGAATACTCATTTCTTTTTATCTGCTACCATACTGCACTAACCTGTAACATGCAGTAACTTGCTGTTTGGACATCTCCAGTTCTATCAACGTAACTCTCCATTAAGTCCACTCCATCTTTTGTAAGGCCTGTAAGCAGAATTCCTTCCAAATTTCCAGCCTCTTTCATTTCATTGGTTAATTTATCGATGTATCTATTTAACTGCAAGAATCAAAGTGATTTTCTGAAGCAATCAGTTTCATTACACATGTATACTTCAAAACTTTTAAATGTATAAAAATTATATTCCTAATGAAAATCATTTTAAAACAAAAGTCCTTACTAAAATCTACATATGTGATCTCTAAGAAGTACGCATCAATTATAAATTGCAATACAACATCTAAGATAATTAAAAATATTTTCAGAAGGCAAGACATTTACATTGTTTTGATATTTATTCTAAAAAAGATTTCAAAAGGCTTTATATTACCATAAATTCAAAATTCTATTATACTAGAATGTAACAGAGTGAAAAAAATACAGATAGAAGGAAACTATATCATCAAGCATCACCTTCTTGAAGATCTACCCTGACTTCATCTCCCAAACTCGATTCCTTTATATTCATTCCCTCAGCACTTTATCTTTACTACAGCACTTATCATGCTGTTTATGTGCATGTCTTCCTTATTGTATACATATTAAGCACTTTTCCATCTCCAGTAATTAGACTATGGCTGTGTGCCGTAGAGTCGGTTCCGATTCATAGCGACCCTGTACAGGGTTTCTGAGACTATTTGTTGTTGTTAAATGCCACTGTGTCGATTTCGACCCATAGTGCACATATAATACACATCATCGTAATTCAATAACTACTGTACTAGAATATGAAGGAATCCTTTGTATAGTATCACTAAGTGGTAGCTTTAACATCGCTAACTACTGACCAATCTCACCTGAAAATGTAGAAATGAACTAAAATATTACGTTAGTACTCTAAACAAGTAGACTTAGCTGTGACAGAAATGACCACAGCATCTTGGTCTTATAAAGAAATTACTACTACATTTCTCTGGGTAGTAGAAACAGTTTATGTTCAACTACTAATTAAAAGGCAGCAGTTCAAAATCCACCCAGAAGCGCCATGGAAGAAAAGGCCTGGTGATTTACTGCTATAAACTGTTGTTGTTAAATGTCGTTGAATCTTTTCTGACCCAAAGACTCTGTAGAGGGTTTCTGAGGAGTGGCTGGTGGGTTTGAACCATCGATCTTGAAGTTCAAACTGACCTTGTGGTCAAGTGCTTATCCTACAGCGCCACTTGGGAGCACAGTTCTACTCTGATACACATGAGCTCAGCATGCATTAGAATCAACTCAATAGCAATGTGTTTTAATTTACTTTTTATAAGAATTTACAAATAATACATTTGCACATAAAGATTTTGTTGTTAAGTGTCACTGAGTTGGTTCTGAAGCATAGAGACCCTTTATGAGTGATTGGTAGGTTTGAATTACTGACCTTGCAATTAGCAGTCCAGTACTTATACTACAGTAGTATACCAGGACCCCACAGAAATATTAGTTTCCTAAAATAATTCAGTGACCAACCAAAAAAAAAAACCGAAAAAACAATAGCCCACGAGCATGGAGTCAATTCCAACTCAGTAACCCTGCAAGACAGAGGAGAACTAACTGCCCCATAACGTTTCAAAGCTTTATAAATCTTTATGGAAGCAGACTGCCACATCTTCCTCTTACAGAATGGCTGGCGGGTTTAAACCAGGTTAGCAGCTGAGTGCTTTAACCACTGCAACACTGGGGCTTCTAATTCAGGGACAGTAAACACTTCAAATAAAGAATTCAGTAATTTCCCACCTGAGTATCATTAAGGAATTTACAAGCAAAGGCCACTCTGTCACGTACTGCAACTTTGTTTTCATACTAGAAAGAGAAAGAGCAAGGAGTTACTTATAGGTGTTATGGTTTATAAAGTTGTGCACAGACTAAATATTTTATATAAATCATACATAAGTTTATTTTCAAATGCATTATTAAGCTTTGTGTACATTCTGGCAAGCTACTGGTTGCCCAAAATGTTTTTCTTGATACAATTCCCAGGTGCTAAGGGTATTATCCTTATAAATTTAGTAAAGGATTTATGGTAGGCCAAGTCAGCATGCGTAATAGAAAGAACCTTTGCCTCGTCCTATGTCACCCTCACTATAGCAGGGATATGTGAACCCACTATTGCAGTCATTATGTAAATCTATTTCTCTGAGCTCTCCCTCCTGATATCATGTACAAAGTTAGATAAAATTTTGCCATCCTCATTTCTAAGGAACAGGTGGCTATACTTCCTCCATGACTGTTTATTCTCCTGGAAGTCAATGGTATGTTCAATGGTGGTGGTGGTGGTTACGTGTCATGGAGTAGGAACCGACTCATAGCGATCCTATACAGGGTTTCCGAGGCTATAAATCTTTACGGGAGCAGAAAGCCTCATCTTTCTCCCGTGGAGTAGCTGGTAGTTTCAAACTGCTGACCTTAAGGTTTGCAGCCTGATTTGTAACCACTACGCTACCAGAAGTCCTTATGTTATGTTCAATATTCTTCACCAATACCATAATTCAAATATGTCAATTTTTCTTCAGTCTTGCTTTTTCACTGCCCAGGTTTCCCATGCATATGAGACAACTGAAAATATGGCTTAGGTCAGGCAGACCTTAATCTCAAAGTGTTATCTTTAAAGTCTTTTGTAACTGATCCGTCCAATGCAATAAGTTGTTTGATTTTTTGACTGATAGTTTCATAAGCATTGATTATGGAGCCAAGTAAAAAGAAATCCTAGACAACTTCACTATTTTCAGCATCGATCATGATGTTACTTGCTGGCCCAATTGTGAGAATTGTTGTTTCCTTTGTGCTGAGGTGTAATCCATACTAAAGTCTTCATCAGTGAATGTTTCAAGTCATCTTCTCTTTTGGCAAGTGAGGTTGTGCCACCGGCATGCCACAGGCTGTTAATGAGGCTTCCTCATATCCTGATGCCATGTTCTTCATTATATAGTCCAACTTTACAGATTATTTGTTCAGCACTGAGATGCAATAAGTATGGTGAGAAGATACAACCCTGACACACACCTTTCCTGATTGTAAAGCACGAAGTCAGTCTTTCCTAAAAAATACATGAAATAATAATATAAAATAAATACAAGCAATGGTGCTGGTGGCACAGTGGTTAAATTGGTTGGCTGCTAACCAGAAGGTTGGCAGTTAGAACCCACTAGACACTCTGTTCCCTAAGATTTACAGTCACAGAAACCCTAAGGGGTAGTTCTACTCTGTCCTGTTAAGTCATTATGAATCAGAAGGGACTTGATGGCAGTGGGCTGTTTTCTTTTCTTTTCTTTAATATAATATTTAAGATGCATGTAATCTTCCTGGCACAGAAGTTAATTTGAGGGATTCTGAGGAAATAATTCTTTGGCTACTACATTAATGAATTAATCTAGGATCGACAGTATTGTTGTTAACTGCCTTTGAATTGGATCCAACGCATAGCAATCCTATGTAAGGTTTCTGAAGCTTTTAAAATCTTTGTGGGAATAGAAAGTCTTTTTTTTGCTCCCGCAGAACAGCTGGTGGGCTCAAACCATGGACCTTGTGGTTCGCAGTCAAGTGCTTATGGTATAAAATTTAAAATAAATACAATATGTGCTTCAGTACAAAATGACAACTTTTACAAGATAGCTTACTTTAACAACAACATTCTATATATAATTCTATAAATAAATGGACTCACTTTTGTGGTCAAAGTAAAATATGGTTACATAAGAGGTAGCAGATTTTTCAGAGGCATTATGAAAACTTACATTTTCATATGTTTACCAAGAATGTAAAAGGCTATTTTGAAATAAGTTTACCATAGTTAGTGGTTTCTAAGTGCTGTCCAGTTGGTTTCAACTCATAGCAACCCTGTATAGGGTTTCCAAAGAGCAGCTGGTGAGTTTGAACAGCCAACCTTGCAGCTCAAATCAACTTAATGGTCCAGTGCTTATTCTAGTTTTATGGTAACTAAATAATAATTTAAAGGTGGAAAAAAGATACAGTTTCCATTAAAGTCATTCTATGACACATCATTACCCTACTTTAAATACTGCTTCAGTTGACACCTATCTTAGAATTTCTTCCAATGTAACCTACGGTTCTGCCTTAAAGAGGTAACAAACAGGCTCAGTTAGCTCTTAGATTCACTTACATGCATTACAGCTTTGATTTGGGAAAAGGCTATAAATATTACCTGTACTATTCTGCAGCTTGACAGATAGATGAGACTGCTACTGCAAAAAATTTTTTAAAGTTTCGGAAACCCTATAATGGGTCACTATGAGTTGAAACTGACTCTATGGCACTTAACGACAACAACACTGTAGAATGCCTTTGCATAGTCCAGAAAACACAATCAATATCTTTCTAGTGTTCACTACTTTCATCCAAGATCCATCTAATGTCAGCAATGATATTCCTTGTTCCGTGCCCTTCTGTGAATCCAGCTTGAATTTCTGGCAGTTCCCTTACTATGTACTGTTGCTTTCCCAACTCATAGCAACTTTGTATAGGGTTTCTTAGGCTGTAAATCTTTAGGAAAGCAGAGCCTCATCTTTCTCCCATTTCATGTACTACTATAATCACTTTTGAATCATCAGCAAAATTGATACTGATAATTGCTCAATAATTTTTCTACATTCCATTGGGTCATGTTTTTTTGGAATGGGCACAAATTCACATCTCTTCCAGACAGTTGGTCAGGTAGCTCTCTCCCAGATTTCTTGGTATAGACAAATGAGTGCTTCCAATACTGCATCGGTTTACTGAAACATTTTTATGTGTATTCCATAAATTCCTGGAGTCTTGTTTTTTGTTAAAGCCTTCAGTGTAGCTTAGACTTCTTCCTTCAATACCATCAGCTCTTGACCATATGCTACCTTTTGAAACAGTTGAGCATTGTCTAATTCTTTTTGGTACAGTGACTGAACAGTTTACATTTTCTTTAGCAGCTTCTTGAGTCATTCAATATTTTTCCTAGACTTTTTCAATAGCCCACATGAGGCCTGACTATTTTGTTCAGTTCTTTTACTTTGAGAAATACTGAGCATGTTCTTCCCTTTTGGTTTTCTAACTCCAGGTCTTTGCACATTTCATTATAATACTTCACTTTGTCTTGAGCTGCCTTTTGAAATTTTCTGTTCAGTTCTCTTACTTCATTATTTCTTTAATTTCCACTCATCTGTCAGTCTGTCGTACTGTGGTGGCTTGTGTGTTGCTGTGATGCTGGAAGCTATGCCACCAGTATTTAAAATACCAGCAGGGTTATCCGTGGTGGAGAGGTTTCGGCGAAGCTCCTAGACTAAGACAGACTAGGAAGAAGGAGGAAAGGGGCACACTACATTTGAATGTTTACCCACTGAAAACCTTATGAATAGCAGTAGAACACTATTAGATAGTCCCAGAATATTGAATATTGAAACATGATGAATAGCACCAGAATACTGTCAGATACAGTGCTGGAAGATGAATCCCTCAGGTTGGGAGGTACTCAAAATATGACAGAAGAGCTGTCTCTTCTAATAGAGTTGACCATAATGACGTAAACAGAGCAAAGCTTTAGGACCTTTATTTGCTAATGGAACACACAAAAACATGGAGAAACTATTGCAAATATCCATTATTAATTAAAACATGGTATACATGAAGTGTGATTCTGGGAAAACTGGAAGTTGTCAAAAACAAAATGAAAGGCATACACATCAATATCATATGCATTAGAGAGCTGAAATGAACTGGTATGGCCATTCTGAATCTGACAATTATATGGTTTGCTATTCTGAAGAGGAATGGCATCACATTCCTTTATCAAAAAACGCATTTCAAGATCTACCTTGAACAATAATACTGTTTGTGATAGGATAACATCCATACGCCTCCAAGGAAGACCAGTTAATACCACTATTATTCAAATTTATGAACCTACTAAAGCCAGTGATGACGATGCTGAAGAATTCTACCAACTTCTTCAGTCTGAAATTGATTGAATATGCAAAGAACTATGAAGGTTGGAAATATCAGTAATTGGAAAATCTTGCAAAGGTGACAGAAATATGCTGGAGATCACATGATAGAATTTTGCAAGACCAATGATTTATTCATTGCAAGTTCTTAATTGAACAATATAAAAGACAACTATGCACATGGACCTCCCTGAGAGAATACACAGAAATTGAATTGACTACATCCCCTGAGAGACTACTACCGAAATTGAATTGAACTGGAAAGAGACGGTGGAAAAGTTTCATATCATCAGCCAAAACAAGGTCAAGGGAAGACTGTGTAATACATCATCAATTGCTCATATGGTAAGTTCAGGTTGAAGATGAAGAACATTTTAAAAAGTCCATGAGAGCCAAAATATGACCTGGAACATAGCCCACTTGAATGCAGACACATCTCAAGAATAGATTTGAAGCATTAGATACAAGATCAAAGGCAAGAAGAGTTGTGGGATACAGGAAGATAGCAAAAGGTCTTTGTTGTTGTTGTTAAGTGCCACAGAGTCAGTTCTGACTCATAGTGACTCTGTATAGGATTTCCAAGGAGCAGCTAATGAATTTGAACCACCAACCTGCGGTTCAAACTGACCTTGCAGTCCATTATTTTACCCCACAGCACCACACCAGGACTCCAAAAGGTCATTAAGAAGACAAAAAAGAAGGAAAAGACCAAAAAGGATGTCAGAAGAGTCTCTGAAATTTGCTTTCCAGCATAGAGCTGCTAAATAAAATGGAAGGAATGAGACGATAAAGAGTTGAACAGAAATTTTGAAGGGCAGTTTGAGAACACAACGTCAAGTATTATAATGAAATGTGCACCTGGAGTTAGAAAAG